TTCTTACAGCCCATGTTATAATGGCTATTCCATTCTCCAGATGATTTCCCAAGGGTAAGTACCCAGGACTTGCTATATCTCACCTCCAAATCATATATATAGGTCTCTAAAAGACTACTTTTGCATACTGTGTCCACCATATTTGTGACTAAAGAAAACGCTACTGCCGTCTTTTAAGAGATCCAGACACTATATATGCAAACTTCATAATGATGATTTGAAATAGAACTGTATTCCAATTTCAAAGAGAAATAAGCTATAGGAGTTGGAAAAGAAGGTAGAATCAGTAAGAATGAAAAACATTGGAGTTGCTTTTTTTCCCCCCCTCTCTGTTTATCTATAGAGGATAATTTTTGTCACATCATTAGTTTTTAAGTAGGGGAAAAAAATAACAGTATTTATCTATCCTCATTTGCAAATCATCTGAACCCATCACCTAAAGACTTTCAGCCCCAAATTCCAGAAGGGTGGGGGGAAAAAGAAAAGAGAAATGGCATTCAAATACTCTACATTAAAACCAAGCTGAAAACTATTATTCGTGATAGCAGTAATTACCTTCTTGCACCCCCATATAGCAGAAAACCAGCTTTCCCCTCACACAGAACACCTCCCCCCGCCAACTTACATAGCACCCAGCATTTAAAGACAAACTTATTTAAGCTTTTTCTCTGAGAAAAGACTTGTGCCTGAAGGGTAGACACGCAAATAAACCCACGACAGCAACATCTCTCCAGAAACATTTGTCAAGCAGAGTTCTAACTAGAACTACGCTTACACGTTCTAATCTTGCATTAGCACAAGCACAGCTATTTTTCATAACCCAGATTTAGGGTTTGTAACTTTTGTTAAGTATTAACAGAGTACATAGAATTAGTAACAGAATTTTGATGTGTAATCAAAGTTGTAACATCAACCTGGAGCCATGAAACTTTGTAAACTATGTAACATTTACATCTATGTAAACATACCTATGCTTGAAAACAATATTAAGTAGGTTTACAAGCCCTGCTCTCAACAGCAACTTTAAGAGTGCTGGGGCATTGCCCAAGGATAACACGCTTAATACAAAAAAGTGTACACATAAAAAAGGAATCTTGAGCAAGATTTTACTTTAAAAGCAGTTCTAAGTCTGAAGTGTTTTATTGCTCTGCCTGTGCAATAAAGCGATTAGAGTTCAACCACAATCACAGACAGCTTACAGAGAACATACCAGCAGAGACAATTTCACAAACGATACTCCTAAACCTTCGGCAGGATTTTCAAGTGTCACCAAATCAATAATGAAAGGACAGTCCAAAAAAAAAAAAAAGTTACACTAGTAAAATTAGAGAAAAAAGTCTGACCTCCCACCCCTCAATTCCTTCACAACACCTAACCGTTCAGCTTCTGAAGCTGTAGCAGTATCTTTGGCTTTACAGTTCTATCTAGATTTTTTTTTTTTTTGGGAGGGGGGAAACAAAGTTAAAAAAATAATTTCCCCTGAGAATAATCAGTGCAATACAGGAGAAGAATAAAATAGCAATCAAAGAAGAAAACATTCCCCATGCAGTGAAAATGCTTCTTCACCTACAAAGATATCTTTAACATGCCATTTCCTTTAACAAACTTACTCAAGACCTTCTGAGTGGCTTGAGAATGATCTAGCATTAGGAAAAAAAAAAAAAAGAGAGGATCAAGACTTTGCCGATGTGCTTTCTTTTGCTCAGGTGATTTTTAGCACGAATCGAGAAGTGCACTTTAACAAATATGGGTCTTGTCTCCTGTAAGACACTTAAAGCTACAGAACTACTTCAATGATGGACTGCCCAAGTACCAAAGACAGAGCAGATAGCTCAGGAGAGAAGAAATGATGGTTTAGGAGATACGGAGTGCAAGACTAACAGAAGGAACCATGAGATGTTAAAACTATAGCACCCACAGCAGAACATTCTGGTTAAAGACAATCTGCTACTTCAACATGTCCCACGTTTTCAGCTGCATAGGGCATATATTCTGAAAGACCACAGAAAATTATAAAAGTATACATTCTCTGTTCCTGAAAGTTCATAAAGCGTAATTCAGCAATCATGAAAACTACAGGACACAAACACCCTTCCTTGGGGGAGGGGAGAACATAGACAGTATCTAAAGAGAAGTCTTCTTTGATGAACAAAGCTATTTCATTTACTATTTTTCTTTTTTAAGCTCACCTACAATCTTGCCTCACCTATGTGAGAGGCCCCGGAAGCACATTGAATTGTTCATAAGTATTTTACTATCACTTCAGGATCCTCTGTTCTTTATTGAAACCAAAAATACAGACAGATTTATATAAAAAGTGTATTAGCAGGCACATGGAGAACCTTGACCTGGGCACTCTGTTTTTATGTTTAGTTAATACGCATTCATCTCATTCTCTTGAATTAGTACAAATAGGTGCAAACCTACACCCACTTTTATCCAAGCATCTACAAATATTTTAAAGCATAGTATCATAACACAGATGCTCTTTTTCAAACAACTTAGTCACAAAGGGAAAATATTTTCACTCCCTTAGCAAAGATTATTAGATCTCATTCACTGGAAATCCCTATCCATTTGCATTACATTTGCAGGATTTCATACAGCAGTTTATGGATAGTACAATAAAATACCTTCAACCTAAACACCACTTCCACACCCACCACGTAGAAAAAAAAAATAAATCCCACATTTTCATCTATTTAAAGAACACTAATATTAATTGGTTGTGTAAACAACTGCAGAAAATAGTTGCATATAAAAATAAATTAATAAATACAGAAAACCAATGCTCCCGCTGCCCGACACACACACTCAGAGTAGCTGGAGACTGTATACCGCAGAAAGACAAACCAGGTGTCTTCACACCTAAACTCTAGGATTTCTTCAACCGTTGCCAAAATTCTTAAATATATAACCTGGGCAGACTTTATTTCAGACTAAAGACTGGAAAAGAAATGACTTCTTCTGACAATGATGCTAGAGTCAATTGATCAGGTATGATTTTAAACTGAAACAAGTCACAGTTAAGAGAAGAAACACTACTCATCAACATGCCTGTACTTCGTGCTAAAAGCTTACATGAGATTATAATTTTGATCGTAAAAACAAAAGCTTACTGTTGAATTTATTTATTTTTAGACCTATACCAGGACTGCAGAAACGCTAAAATTTTAGGTGAGTAGAAAATAGTTTAATAATTGTTAAATACCAGAACAGTCAATGCCTAATACTGGAATAACCACCAAAACAATGTCATTAACATGAGAAACAATCCAAATTGCAGCCAGTTTCCTGCTCTTTTAGCGAAGATTAATCCTATCTTCACAGGCAAGAGAAACATTCCTTTTACCTTACCAAGAAATGCTAAAGAAAAGACGGCTTTTGTTGCTTAACTGTTCTTTTTAGTAAGTAGGATAGGTAATGTCAACAAGATCACCATCCCATGCTCTAGGCAAAAAGATCTTCATAGAAGGAGGTAGAAGGGACAGACAGACATGAAGAGCAGATGGCACCAAGTCTTTCAGAAACTGTCAGTGAGGGGGGGACAAAAAGTTTCCCAACAGAAAATATTCCTGAATTAAGAGGACTGTTGCTCAAGTAACTTAAAAATAAGGTATTAAGAAAAGATGAAAGACACATTTTCTACTGCAAGACAAAGCTGCCAGAAGAAACTGTGTTTTGTTTCAAGGGAGGAATAAATGGTATGGTATAGCCTTAAAAAAAAAAAAAAAAAAAAAAGAAATCCCAAACCTCTGTCTGTCCTTATCCTGCTCTGTTATTTATCTGGTTAAAACAGAAAGGATTTTTTTTATTTGGTTTATTTCTGGCAGTGCTCGCCATTTCACAGCACATTTAGTGCACGCGGAATTGATCAATACTGCTACAGACACAAGACTAGACTATCCATTTACTAACCACAAGAAAACGTCCTGTTCAGCAAAATCCTGTACATTATAACACTGAAATTTTAAAAGGCATTGTTAATACGCGTCTCATTACTCCCTTACACCGGTTACACCGAAAAGCTGAGCACTTGTCTGCTAGCTTTCAGACTGATAAACAAGTATACCTTTGCGCACTGTGCAAAAAAGCCAAAAAGTGTGTCTAAACCTACACAGGGGACCATATATGCATTCAAAGCATAAGCAGAAAGTGCCAGGCTTGCCACATAAACAAGTATTAGATCCCTTACACAGCTCATCACAAGGTTTCTTGTGAGACTGATGGAGCTTCAAGCAGAAATGTACCAACAGTTCCCCCAACCACTGGTTGCTACCACAACCATTTTCTTCCTGAAGAAGCTTGGGAAGTCCTCACACCCCGCTCAATTCTCGGGCAAGACTCAGAGCTGGCATTCGAAACCCAACTTCTACAGTTTTAAAGAGAAAAATCGTAGCTTTTTTTGCACTACAAGGCAGTGACAACTGAGCAGCAAAATACAAAGTGTTTCAAATTATTGTCTACAAACTTAAAGTCTGGCTTTTCAGCATAATTCTGGGCATACATCTACACAAGCATACACCCCTCCCTATCATTAAAGGACAAGCTAATGCTTTCAGAGCAGTACCTTTTCTAACCTAACCAAGCATTAATGAAGGTCGCCATTCCCAGTGAATGGGCCGGAATAAGAGATCCGATTGAAGTTAAAGAGTATTTCAGCTGCATTATTCTTACTCAAAAAAGAAAACCCCACCGTGAAACACTAATAATTGCATTGCCAGATTACTGTATGTGACACTAGGTGGTTATGTCTCCACATCGGTTCCACACGATCTGAAATCCAAGCGCTGCACGCAGCTGAAGTGCTCATGTTATAGACATTTTTAAGAATAACGATGAAAACAGCTTCTACCTTTAGTCCCTGCCATCCCCAAACACTTGTCACCTGAAAAACAGAACTGGATCTCCTTCACGCTCATCGACAGTTACCTCACGCTTTCAAGTGCTGACCCCAAAGCCTGACATTCAAAGGAACAAAACCAAGACCATTCACTTACCTGAAGAACAAGATATAAGAAAAACAGCGAACGCCAACTTAGTAGCAGCTCCCATTTTCCAATGCTGTTAAAACATTTAAGTGACTTTAAGTATCCAG